TCCCTGCTGCAGAAGGTCGGGGATTTTGAAAGACGCTAAATGTCAACTGACAAGAAAAAAGTCAGAACTTTGGGACCCTTAACTTACCCCATCAGGGCAGGGATCTTGTTTTTTTGGACTTTATAAGGGCCATCCCACATTGCATGGCAGGACATGGAGAACTCTCTGTGTTTGTTGAAATGAATAAATCGATGTAGTTTCTATTGGAAAAATTAAATAAGCATTAATGCTACCCCATCCAGTAATTTCTCCAGAATAGCTAACCTACAAAGTATCACATATAAGGAGCCCTCAGACCAGACCATAATTGTGCCCTGAGAAAACCATAATCAGAATCAAAGTTCCTGTCACAGCTCTATAGATTCTGGTATTTTTACTCTTTGCCCGCTCATCTCTCAGGAGTGAGAGAGGGAGCTTTTAACCTTCAAGTTATAACATTAAAATACTTGTGGTTCAGCTTATTAATAGATAATAAAGTCAGCAATGTGATATTCAGGAGCCATATCTGAATGTGGTTTCTATGATGTGAACAATCAACTATATATTGACATGTTTTTAAGCCCTTTGGAATACAAATGCTTGTCCTACAATTTCATCTCATTACAGAATGTATTCTCAGTAGATAATATGGGGTTTCTTGCCCTCCAAATTCATGCCCCCTCACTCAAACACAAGAAAGATATGTGTGTGTGTATGTGTGTGTGTGTGTGTATGTGTGTATCTCCTCCCCTGTAAGTCATGCCTCATTCTTTTATTGGCAGATCAACCTGATTTGAGCAGAAAAGGTGGACTCTCTCTCAGCCCTCTGCAGAGCCGTAGGAAGGGTCTCCCTTGGAGTTAGTTACCGGTCAGGTCCTCTGGCCTATTTCCAGTGCCCTCTCACTGCCACTCTGAGGTTATGCCTCAGCCTACCCCCCGACCCCTGCCCCAGCAGAATCCCTTCAATCTAAGCACTGGTAGGAGCTGGCAGCCTTAACCTGTGCTCGGTATCCTTGACACAACTTTCAGTAAGAAACACATGTCTCTGGAGATCTTGATGGGGCAAATATAATTGGGGAACGCTTTATCACTTAAAAATATATAAGAAATTATTAGATATTATTGATATTCCAGGCCCCATGTAAGGTACTGGTGGTGTGTTCCATATAGATCTTGCGGGAGTCAATCATTTCTGTTTGTCTTTATCTTTCCATCTCTTCACCTGTCCTCTTTCCTATTCCTAGATGGGTTTATGGTGGTTTATCACAAGCAAAGACAATAAAGTAATGGGGAATGAGAAATAGAGTCATGACTGAAGAGGCATCAGTAAGAATAGGAAGAAGATTCCAAACATCCAGGGCATAAAGGCCTATGTGGTTGTTATATTTGCTTTGACATTTAGCTTTGGGCTTCCTGATACTCAAAACAAGTAGAAAGACATAATACTTCTTTTCAGAAAAGAGGAGATATCTCATTTCCTTATGGAAGGCAAAAATGTCTGTTTTTAGCACTCAGTTCTGAAAGAGCATTTCAGTGTGGTGCTTTATATAATGGGCATTGAACAAGACAATGTTCTTGATTTCCTCCACATAGCAAGTGCAGAAGCGAGTTTCCTGTGACCATCTCCTGTGTGGTCTGTTGATGATACTGATATAATCTTCAAAAACATCTTAACGAAGGCGATTCTGTGAAGACCCTCCTCCGATAAAATGGAAGCTGTCCAGACCAAATGAATTTTATCCATCTTAAGGACTGGATCAGCCCTAGGACCTGTCCAAGGGAAAAAATGTTGAATTTTCCCTTGGGAACAGTCCATGTTCATTGTCAGCACTCTCAGTCACCTGAGCTCCCCTTCCTGGCCCTAATCCAATCATCTCTTTTTTGTTTAATTTTCGATGTCTTGCTTTTTTCCCCCAGATACTGTTATTAATTCTCAGCAGCCAGAAAAATCCTAATGTCAGCTGAGTTTTGGAATTGCTGAGTTTTAAAAAATTTAAGACTTTTTTTTCCTAAACGTTGGTCTTTTCAGAGCTTTTAAAACACTAACATATATTGTGACTCTCTAAGAAAAATAATGCTCAGTATTTCTTAACCTTATTTGGGCATAGAATCCCTTTCGGAAGCACCAAACACTTGCTGGGAAGCTGCTAAAAGCTATTTTTTGATAATGTCTTAGTGTTAGTCCTTACAGGGTACTACTGGTGCTATAATACAAGGTTAATGATGGTCAACAAATTTTTGAAATTCAGAGCCATTTATCTTTAGTAGAGCATCCTTGGTGCCCTGGCAAATAGAGGAAATATATTTGGGAAGGTGGGCCTTCCTAAATCCCTTAGGTCAGGCGTCCTCAACCGGTACCCGTCTATGGCCCGTTAGGAGCCAGGCAGCACAGCAGGAGGTGAGTGGTGGGCAAGCAAGCGAAACTTTATCTGTATTTACAGCTGCTCCCCAGCGCTAGCATCACCGCCTCGGCTCCACCTCAGATCATCAGGCATTAGATTCTCATAGGAGCACCAGTCCCTGGTGCCAAAAAAGGTTGGGGACTGATGCTAGGTCATGTGTATTTCTAAAACAGCCCACATAGTCTTGGCTATGGTCTAAAAGTGCTTCTTTTCATATGAAATGATTATTCTATTCTTCAGCTTAATCTTTGAATTTCACCTGAAAAAAGTAACCATTAAAAATACTGTTGAGGTCATTTGAAACAGCTGGTTTTTAAACTACCACTTAAAGAAAATAGTGCATAATAACCTTTGAGCAAGAATTATAAAGAATATATAAAATAGTAGCTTAAAAATACCCAACTACTGTCAATAGGACACAAAATCACTAGGATAAACATTGTTAATAGTTGTTAAGAGTCTTCAAAAGAAAATGGTTAATTAGTGACATCAGACACCTCCTGTGTGGAGACTTGTTATTCTTTAAAACTGGAAATTACTAAAGATCTTGAGACTGGATAGAATGAAAACAGATCTTATTTTTTACATCCTAGAAATAAATATTTGTAACCATATGGAGTCTGTTTTCTGAATCGAGGACAGGAACAATAATCTCACAAATTTATCTTTTAATTTTTGGTGGTTGAACAATACTACAGTTTTTCTCCCCATTCCACTGACTACACTCTTAATATTTTCTCTTTAAAAATTGAATTTTAACATCTTGAAACAATAGTTTCAGTCCTCTAAGCCAGTGGTCCCCAACCTTTTTGGCACCAGGGACCAGTGAGAATCTAATTATGAGAATCTAATGCCTGATGATCCGAGGCAGAGCTGAAACAATGATGCTAGCACCAGGGAGCGGCTCCAAATACCGATGAAACTTCGCTTGCTTGCCCACTGCTCACATCCTGCTGTGTGGCCTGGTTCTTAATAGGTCACTGACGTGCTGGTCTGTGGCCCGGGGGTTGGGGACCCCTGCTCTAAGCTACAGTATTTGTCACCAGAGAATGGAATTCTATCTGAAGATTAGGTTTCTCTGTTATGCTCCAGTGAGACAAATCTGGGCACTCATAACTCTTCCATTCCTCAGCACCTTTGACCTACTGTTCTGTACCTGCGTGGAACTCTCACCAATGCGTGATGAACTCCTATCTATCCTCTAAACCCCACGTAGTTCTCTTCTCCAGAAAGTTTTTTATCCTCCTCTTACTTTCCACGTGTATTTTATGAGTTTATTATTTGGGCTACCTTTGTGCTTAGACCTATTTTATTTTTCCATTTAACACATGTTCTTATGGAGTTTTTCGCTGTATAAAGTGTGAGTTCAAGGAATGTATGAAGTACATCTTACTCATTTCTGAATTTGGGGGTTTAAATTTACACTGCAGTACATATCTCACAAACATGGTGCTTTTATTTGCTATAATACATCTTATCTAGCTCTGGATACCTCAGTTCTGTTGCTAGTGAGAGCATGAACATGCTAGCAAACACTTAACTTGCCTGTTAAAGGTAGCTCAGTCTCTTCTGGCTTAACAAAAGTTTCTTTGTGATTGATGCGGTCTTTTTGATTAGTCTTTAGGGAATGGTAGAATATAATAGTCCATCAGTTCAGAGTACAGACTCTTTATCAGGACTCTTCCCCTGCCTCTCATCTGGTCTCTTTGCCTCCTTTTCTCCAAGGTGGCATGTTTGCTCTGAGAAAAGTTTGAATTGTTCAACGCAGTGTGGAGGCAGCCTTCTGGTGTCGGCTACCATCTTTATTTTTGTTGGTTTCTTCTGAAGAGTGATTAGCCTGTTTAGTGCCTTGTTTTCTTTGGCTGGTGTCCAGTGAGGTATAGGTAATCCCATCTCGTCTACTTGGGTTTCCTGGTGGGACCCTCCTATTGAAGAAGTAGTCTCTTCCATTTGTGTGGGTTTTCTAAAATTCTTTGTTCTATGGCCTCACTCTCCCAGTACCAAACCCTTCAAACTCTCAGCACCAAGGCTTCCCAGCTCTCTAGCTTGAACCGTGGGAACTCTGCGATCTGCTCCATGCCGAATGTTGTTCGTGGGAGATAGGGACACTCATGTCCATCTGCTCATGTCTAATCCTCCACGGCTGAGCAAGGCTGTTCTGTTTTTACAGGAAAAATTTGAGAGACATAATTTCAATCAGTCTGATGCCAGAAAAGGGAGTAACCAGTGAAAAATCATTGTCGTAAGACAGCTGGGAGAATCAAGAAAAATGGAATAGATTTTGCCATTCCTGTCAGCGTAATGCCGGCATTCAGTCAGCCTCTGCCAGGCTATTGAGCTTTGTTGGAAAACTGTGGTTACTTAAGATTGGTGAGTTGATCTAGAAATACTGACGTTTAAGCTGAACAAACGTGATGCGTTTTCAGCTGCAAAGTCTTTGATGACTCCAAGGCTGTTTGGGATTGTTATCTTCAAGAAAGATTAGAGAGATATTGTCAGACTTTTACATAATAGTTTCTAGTATCAGTTCCTAGTAAAAACTGCTATGAAGATTAGCCAAGAAATTGCTTATATGTCATTGCCTAATCCTTGGAAAAATAACTCAATGTGACATACTTTGTACCTCTTTCATTAAAATACTGCCTGTGAGAGAATAGAATCTGATGGGTAGTGGGTAGCACACTAAGGTAGTGAATAATACCTGTTACTCTGAGAGATTGTCTAACTTGGAATCACTTGCTTTAACCCTTCTGCTGAAAACCTCTAAAATTTTTTGAGAAGCTATGAATATAAAATTTATAACCTAAGACTTCCAAGCAGGCTGAATAATTTGCTGCGACGCTTAAGACCAGCAGGTGTTTTTGGAATATGTGGCATCGAAAGCAATTTTCTCATAGCTAAAGCAGTCTTTCACATGGAGGTAGAAAATGGTAAAGATTCAGACAGGAAAAATGTTGAGGCAATGTGTTATTTTTCTCCCTTATACCTGTGCTTGAGGTTTTATTTTTTTTTTCATTTTTAAGTCACTTAAGGCATTTTATTTTTTGCTCCTTTTTGTTGATGAACAGTCAATTCTTATTTACCCTTTAATTCTTTGGACTTAATCACCTGTAGACAAATGAAAACATTTATTATACAATTAATCAGAAATTCTGTTTGTTCTTTTACTGAAATTCTATAGGAATTATAGGCATTATCATTCAATATAGCACTTAGTTATGTCATTTTGTTATTGTTAAACACTACTGTGTTTGTCTCATTTCTTCCTTAAATGATAAGCTTTTTGTGTATATACGGGTGTGATGGTTAATTCTGTGTCACTTTGACTGGACCATAGTGCACTCAGGCATTTGGCTAAACATTCTGGTTGTGTCTGTGAGGGTGTTTCTGGATGAGATTAATTTGAATCAGTAGACTAAGGAAAGCAGATTGCTTTCCCTAATGTGAGTGGACCTCATCCAGTCAATTGAAGACTATAGAACAAATAGGCCAAGTAGGAGGGAACTCCTGTCTGACGGCTTTGAGCTGCGACATTGATCTTTTTTTGTCTTTAGACACGAACTGGAATATTGGCTTTTCCTGTGTCTCCAACCTGAGGACTGCATCTTGGGACTTCTTAGCCTCCATAATCAGGTGAGCCAGTTCCTTAAATAGATTCCTTAAATACACATATTCCATTGGTTCTGCTTCTTTGAAGAACCCTGACCAATATAACGAGTCATGTCTCTGATACTCATTTCATGTTACACACAATGTTACACACTATGGTTATATTAGAAACTTAAAATAGAGTTTTAGAAGTAGTGTGATCATTGATCAAAATGATCCATGAACCTTAACAGTCACTTATTCTAAACCATAATCCCAACTAACCATTTGCTAAATCCTTGAGTGCTATTTGCTATTTGTTTGAGTGCTATAAGCGTACTATTGTACTTGTCAGTTTTGACATAGGTAGAAATAAACGCAGTGACAAATGCAGTATTGATCTTGATTAGGTGATATAAAATGTGCTGAATTTCTATATTTGAATGACAAATGGTAATTACGGTATATTATACAACATGATTTTCATCATGAAATATGTTATTTAAATGGTAGGTTAAACTTGTTAACCTTAGCCAAAAGGCTGTGTATATCTTCTGAAAATTTATGATATTGTAAGTGGCATAAGAAAGGCTCTATGTTTATCGTTGCTGCCTGCAAGATTTGTAAACCAGTTAAGGCATGTCATCTTTCCTGGAGCAACTGGGTTTTTTTTGACCCATGTCAGGGCATGCATTTGGAGTTGTTTTTCAAATAGTTGTGATGAATATCTTGTCTGATTTCAGTTATGGCCCTTGAGGTGAATTTGTAGGAGGACTGATCAAGAGGAAAGTTTTAGTGGTTTGTTACAAATCAGAGGAGTGAAGCTATAACTGATCCCTGTTAAATTGAACTCTGTGGCCTTGACCTCAGTAGGCTTGTGTGGGAATTGACTGAATGGATTAAAGGTAGGAAATGTGTCAAATCATAAACCAGAGTTAAGTGAGCAGAGAATTGCATTTGTCATGAGTTACCGTGACTCTGTTCACTTCAGAGTGTGATGGCGTGGGTGTCCTCACATGAAAGACTTGCAAACTCTTTTGGTTATTGAGACCACTTATAATAGTTTTTATTATGTGAATGTTAGAAGCATAATTTATGAAAATATGAAATGTTTCTTTCCTCCTGAGAAGAGAGGTGAGACATTTCAGCTAAGAAATTTCAGAAAGCAGAAACATCAATTGACAGTCATGGAAGAAAATTCTTCTCTGAAATGTCTGGCAATCTGTATTTGCCACTGATTTAATATTTCAATGCATTTCAGGAAGTAATTTTGTTTCCTTAATACTTTGCTAGATTGCCTATAGAAATATTGAAGAATATAATACATGCTCTACTGTTGCCCATTTGATATTGAGCGTTAATAAATACTCCTGAGCTCACTCACCTTCTAGGTCGAAAGTTGATGCTGTTTCAGGAGTGGTAAGCATGGCCTCCCTGTTACTCTCTTTTCAACTCTGCTCGTATAAGTAGCTTTTTTGTCTTCAAATGTGAGGAAAATAGCACCTCATGTAGAGTAGACTCACAGTGGACACAGAGGGCATAGAATGGCAACAAGTGGCAGATGGCATTTTGTAGATATAGTGGAGAGCAGTGAAGACAACTGTGTTAACAGCATAACTATTAAGAGTGGATATTAAATGGAACATTGAACAAGCCCATGAGCAGATAGTAAAAATAATGATTCTGCTAGAAAGAAGTGACCTCTAATGCACGCCTATAAAACCACAAACAATATGTGGCTTTCAACAGAAAATGGAAAAGCAGAAGACAAGAGAAATTGGACCTATATCAAATCCCAGCAGTAATGATTCTCTTAAGAATCATCTAAGGATTTTCACCAGAGACATATTGAAGAAAATATTGGGAATTAATATGAGAATTTTTCTGTATGTTGTTTATTATTTGTATTGAGTTTGTAATTATGATTATATTTATATTTATTATTAGTGGACTATATAGTAAAATATGTCATTTTTTATTTTACAATGCAGATCCATTCAGTCTAAATTAATCCTTTTATTGTCACGAAGTTCTTGAGTGAGCATATGCTTTACATGCTGTCATAGGTGACTAAACGGGGAAGACACTACCTGAAAACAGCTGTCTGCATCTGGGACCTAGAGGAGCAAAATCCAGAAATCAGTCCTTTTTCCAGAATGTTGCTTTTGCCATCCTTGTTTTAATCTGGGGTACTAGATAGTATCCATCTTTTTTAAATTTAATTTTATTTATTTATTTACTTATTTATTTATTTAGCAATCACCAAAGTCTTTATAAGAGGGTTTGAGGGAAAAAAATGTGACTTGATTAAAAAGAATGTCTCTTTTAGCATTTTATTCAAGTGACGGTGCTCAGTGCAGTCTCTTACTAAGTGTCACTTGCGTTGTCTGTGAGAGTGCACTAAAGGAGAATACAAATGATTTACATGCACAACTAAGATCCAGGTGTTCTAAGGAGACAGCCCTCTTGCCCAACTCCAAAAATGGAATCAAATCAAGTAACAAATATTTAGTCATCTCTTTTTATGGGCCCGACACAGGGCTAAGTGTAAAGTGTACAAAATAGAGACCATCCATATTCCTGAACCTTCAGTAATTACACACAAAAGAGTTTTCACAGTCTAAAACATTTTCATTTTAGCTATAGAGGCAATAAGAGACAAATAGAAAGAAATTAATGTGATCTGGAGCAAAGAAGTTTCATGAAAGAGACATAATTTGAGATGTACCTACAAAGAGAAGGATGGGAAAGAGAGGACTAGATAGGCAGGCGGGAGGAGCAAGTCCACAGCCCTAACAGACTTATCCCAGGTGCGTGCATCATCCCTGAGCTTGAACCTAAGTTTTGCAGGCATCAGTGGCTCTGTGTTTTTGTTAATACTGTGGTGCCCACATATAGAATGACTTCTGTGGCTGCTTGCTTAAAAACCAGTTTCTGATACTAAGTTCCTTCCAGTTTCAACTCCACCATCTTGACTATTTGTCCTCCATGAAGAGAAAGAGTTTGAGAGAGAAACACATATTTGATCTCACGGTTTACATGTATAATTTTCTGTGTTTGCTTGACTCAGGAGAAGTTATTTCTTCTCTCTGTTTTTTAGTTAAGTATCCTCGAATCTCTGTAAAATAAAATACTAATCGTGGCAGATGCTAGTGCTCCCCACCCTCTGTATTATCTTTTTCCTGAGCCCTCAGGTAGATGACATTTTCTAGGCTCTCTTGCAGGTAGATGTAGCCATATGAGGATTCTGAGCAATGGCCCATGAGTGGGAATGATGGAACCATTTCCAGACTGGCATGTAGAGAACTTCCCATCTGCAAATCTCTTTTATTCCCTGGCTGGTTGGAGAGGACTCTAGGGATCCAAAACAAAGGAAGATGAGGCCTCTCTGGTGGCAAGGACCCTGGTCCCAAAGTTGTGGGCATAGGACAGAGCCTTTTTTTTCTCATTGCCACTCAATTGGACTGTGATGTGATATGATGTGAGCTAGAATCCTGATGAGTTGATTTCCCAAAGCAGTATCACTATTAATTTAAAGCATATGAAGGAACTTCTTACAATGGAGCATAGCTAATTCTAGTAAACTTTAAAAAAATTTTTATTTGGAAACAATTTCAAGACAAGAAAAGTTGTGAGAACAGCACAAAGAACACCTGTATGTTCCTCACCCTGGTTCATGTGCATTTTCTTCCACTTGCTCCATCTCTTGCTCTTTCTTCTCATATATATGTATTCTTTATATATTTTTCTGAACTCAGTCTACCCCGAACAGTAAGGACACTCTTCCATACACAATCACAGCATTTATCAAACTCAAAACAAAACAAAACAAAAACCCAAGACAAAATGAAACAAAAACCAAACCAACCAAAGAAAAAGCCCAAACCCTCATCTCTATCCAATCCACTGTCTATATCCCTCTTTGCCTTTATTTTTTGTCTTCGATATTGACATTTTTAAAGAACACACTCCTCCATTTTTAGTAGAACATTTCTCATTTGGGGATTGTCTCATGTTTCCTCATTATCAGAGTTAGGTCATGCATTCTTTTGAGGACTCTTGATTGAAGAACAACAAGAAAAGCATTTTGAACTTAAACTTTGCAGAGCACACAGAACAGGAGTTAGAGAGGCATCATGCTGTCATTGCTTAGTTGCCGAGTTACAAGTTAGATTTAGTTTCTAAAAACAACAATATAGTTTCTCACAACACACCAAAAATACGAACACCATCGGAGAGGGGAAATTGCATGTAAAATTAGGAAATTGCTGGTTGTGGATGATAAGTCACAGCTTCCCTTTTAGCATTCAGAACCTCCTGCTACTCTGCTTTCAGGACTCCACAGACTCTCTTCTGTCTGGAGCAGTGTATGTGATAAGCTGGCAGGCAAATATTAGTGTCTCACTAGGTCTATTAACCTACCAGGGATGTACGTGTTTTAAAAGATGGTATCTGGGAGGAGTAATCCATGACTCAAAGCATGGTTTCCCAAGGGTGACATTTCTGGGACAGGGCGCCTGGAGAGGGGAAACATTTTTGGAACCATGTGATGGTTAATTTTATTCGTCAACTTGGCTAGTCTGTAGTACCCAGGACTTCATTAAAATCTAATCTAGGTGTTGCTGTGAAGCCTCTTCATGTAGATATGGTGAACATCTACCATCGGCTGACTTTACGTAAAGGACGTTAACCTCAATCATGTGGGCAGGGCTCGTATAGTCAGGTGAAGGCCATTAGAGCAGAAGCTGAGGTCTCCTAGAGAAGAAATTGTGTCTGAAGACCACAGCGTTAACTCCTGCCTGAATTTCCAGCTCGCCGACCTGCCCTACAGGTTCCCGACTTGCCATCCTCTGTAATTACACGAGCCAATTTTTTAAAATAGATCTCTTTATACATATATATCTCCCGTTGGCCTGTTTCTCTGGAGAACCCTGATAAAGATAGGCTGTCATTTCTGTATTTCTCAAGTTATGCTTCAGAAGTAGTAATTGCTAGCACAATGTTTTGAACATAAAAAATGTTCAAATAATATATGTTAAAAGGAT